TCCCCCTTCCCTTTCTGTCCCCCTCTCTATCTGCCCCCCTCCCCTCTGTCCCCTTCTGTATCTGTTCCCTTTTCTTTCTGTCCACCTTTGTATCTGTCCCCCTCTGTATCTTCCCCCCTTCCCTTGGTCTCCCTCAGTATCTATGTCCCTCCCCTCTCTATTCTCCTCTGTATGTGTCCCTTCTGTCCCCTTTCCTCTCTGACCCTCTTTGTATCTGTCTCCCTTTCCTCTCTATTCCCCTCTGTGTCTGTCCCCCTCCCCCCCGCCCTCTGTATTCCTATGTATCTGTCCCCCTTTTCTTTCTGTCCCTATCTGTATCTGTTCCTCTTCCCTCTCTGTCTTCCTCTGTATCTGTCACCCTCCCGTCACCCTTTGTATCTGTTCCCCTTCTCTCTCTGTCCCCCCTCTATATACTTCCTCCTCCCCTGTCTGCCCGCATCTATAACTGTCCTCTGTACCTGTTCCCCTTTCCTTTCTACCCCCCTCTCCTCTCTGTCCCAATCTGTATCTAGCTACCTTCCCTCTGTCCACCTCTGTATCTGTCTCTTCCTTCTCTGTCTCCCTCTGTGTCTGCCCCCTCCCCTATGTCCCCTTCTATATCTGTCCCCCTTCCCTCTCTGTCCCCCTCTGTATCTGTTCCCATCACCTCTCTGTCCCTCTGTCTGTCCCCCTTCCCTTTCTGTCCCCCTCTGTATCTGTACCCATTTTTTCTTTGTCCTTATATATAACTGTCTCCCTCCCCTCTGCCCGCTTCTGTATCTGTTTCCCTTCCCTCTGCCTGCCTCTATATCTGTCCTCCTCCTTTTTCTGTCTCCCTCTTTATCTGTTCCCTTTCCCTCTCTGTTCCCATCCATAACTGTCTCCCTCCCCTCTGTGTCCTTTCTGTGTCTGTCCCCCTTCCCTCTCAGTCCCCCTCTGTATCCTCCTCCCTTCCCTCTGTCTACCTCTGTACTTGTTCCCCTTCCTTTTTTGTCCTCTCCTGTATTCCCCCATTCCCCTCTGTATCTGTCCCCCTTTGCTTTCTGTCTCCCTCCCCTCTGTCTCCCTCTGTATCTATTCCCTTTCTCTTTGATCCTCTGTGTATCTGCCCCCTCCCCTCATTCCCCCTCTGTATCTGTACCTTCCTCTGTTCCCCTCTTTATCTGTCTCTGTTCACTCTGTTCCCCTCTGTATCTGTCACCCTTCCTTCTGTGTACCTCCTTATTTATCGCCCTTCTGTTTCTGTCCCCTCTATATCTGTCCCCGTTCCCTCTCTGCCTCCCTCTGAATCTGTCCCCCTCCCCTCTCTCCTTCTCTCTGATTCTGCTCCCTTTTTTGGCTGGTACCTTTGACTCCCTGCCTTGACTCTGTCCCCCGTACCCTTTCTGTGTCTCTCTGGGATTTGAGGGTCCAGGCTCACCCCCGTCTCTTCCCACATCCTTCTTCAGCATGGGGAGCAAGTGAATGGAAGGAAGTGATGTTCTATACAAGAGGAGACCACCGTCCTCTAGGAGATCTCAGTTCTGGGGGCCAGGAGACTAGGGCAAGGGCCCCTGTTGGTGGGAAGGCTGCGGGATGGGTGTGACTCATCTGTAGTACCCTGTCAGGTGGCCCCTGGAGGAGACAAGGCCTTGGGTGCCAGGCAGGCCTCTTCACCCTCCTCTGTCCTCTGCCTTCTCTTCCCAGGATGATACACGGGCTCGGCGGCAGCGGCTGCAGAAGCACCTGGCTGAGCATCTGCGCCAAAGCTGGGACCCTCTTGGGGACCCCACACAAGCCCGAGACCTGGGAGAGCTACTGCAGGCCTGGAGTGCTGGGGCTAGGACTGGTGCTCCCAAGGGCTCCCGCTTCACACATTCAGAGAAGTTTACCTTCCATCTGGTGGGTGTGCTTGAGTGGACATGGGGCATCCTGATGGGTGTGGAGGGCTCGGGTGGCTTTATGTACGACCACCACACCTTTATCCACACAGGTTACTGTGTTCCCACTGGGTGGGCCCTCTCCCCACTGAGGTGGAGAGTGGATACTCAGAGGGGTACCCTTGTTTCTGAGGGACCTCAGAGTAGAAAGTGTGGATAGGTGGGACCTGTGTAAGGGTTGGGGTGCTCTTGGTGCAAACCCCACCTTTCCCCAGGCAGTTTCCTCTGGGTATATCTTCTCTCCCTGCATGCTTGCCCAGAGGAGCCCCCATCTTTCTTGTGGGCATTTGGGGCTTGAGAGATGGGGAGGAGCTATGTCAGGATCAGGGTGGTTTCCCCATGAACAGACCTTGTAGTCTGTTTGCAGGTAGTGCCTTTACCCACGTATGGTCACAGTCTGATAGCCGTCAGTGGTTGAGTGGGCATAGGTCCGATGCTGGGGGGTTGTTGTGGTGGGGGGTGGTTTGAGGCTGGGCCGTGAGGGGCAAGGCTTTCCCTGACAGCCAGGATGTCCCTCTTCACTCCCCTAGGAGCCCCAGGCTCAGGCTGCCCAGGCGTCAGATGTGCCAGCCACCCCCCGGCGGCCTGAACAGGTGAGCAGGGCAGTGGGGGTGTGTCCTGGGGCATTGGTTGTCTCTTGCACCTGATACCCCCACCCTGACTGGCCTGTCTCTCCTAGGACACGTGGGTAGCTCAGGAACAGGAGCTAGAATCCCTTCGGGAGCAGCTGGAGGGAGTGAATCGTAACATAGAAGAGGTTGAAACCGACATGAAGACACTGGGAATCAGCTTTGTGCAGGTAAGGGGTGGGGAGGGCTGTGGGCTGGGTCAGGTTTGAAGTAGGGTCCAGAGGGGCTTGAGGGACTTGAGGAGTCCGAGAGGTGCTCTGTAGAGATCTGCAGATGTCAGAAGGGTTTGTGAGGGGACTTTGGGGACCTATGGGGCTCTTGAAGGTTCAGGAGAATCAGTGGGGTTGGGGGGGGGATGTGGGGTCATGGGGCTTGTGGACTTGTAGGGGTTAGAAGTGCCTTTTGATATCAGCCAGGCCTCTTTGGTGGCTGTTGAGAGTCAGAAGGGTTGTGAGGGTCTGTGGCATCTCTGGGGCAAGATGGGTCTGCATGGGCAGGGGCTTGTGGGGCTCTTCAGCCCTTGGGCATCAGTGTGGAGCTGGGCTTCTGAACTCATTGGGGCCTGGGGGCTGTGGTGTGTGACTGGGAATGGGCGATGGTGTGCAGGTGGAAAGCGAATGTCGGCAGAGCGAGCTCAGCACGGCCGAGCGTGAGCAGGCTCTGCGCCTGAAGAGCCGCGCGGTGGAGCTGTTGCCTGATGGGGCTGCCAACCTTGCCAAGCTGCAGGTGGGACTGGGACTAGGGCTGTGACTGGGCAGGGAGAGGTGGGGGGGGTTGAAAGGGCCTGTATGACATGTACCTGCCCCCCACCAGCTCGTGGTAGAGAGTAGCGCCCAACGGGTCATCCACTTGGCGGGTCAGTGGGAAAAACACCGGGTCCCGCTCCTTGCTGAATACCGCCACCTCCGAAAGCTCCAGGATTGCAGAGAGGTAGGTGATGGGGTCCTGGGCTGTGGGGAGGTGGAGGCAGGTTCGGTCCCTCCCTAGAGGGCCATCCCTGTGCTCTCCTCATTGTCTTCTGCCCCTGGGCTCCTGGCAGCTGGAATCGTCTCGACGGCTGGCAGAAATCCAGGAGCTGCACCAAAGTGTTCGGGCAGCTGCTGAAGAGACCCGCAGGAAGGAGGAAGTGTATAAGCAGCTGGTAAGGCCTGTGTGTGCCTGGGACCTGGGTAACTCAGGTGGGTATGGGCGGGGTCTGGGGGAGTGCCTGCTGTGTCACTGTGTAGGTATCAGAGTTGGAGACTCTGCCCAGAGATGTGTCCCGGCTGGCCTATACCCAGCGCATCCTGGAGATCGTGGGCAACATCCGGAAGCAGAAGGAAGAGATCACCAAGGTGTGCCACCATGGTCATGGAGGGTGGGTCATATGGGTAGATGTGTAATATGGCCACATGGGGACCTCATGTCCTCTGATAAGCAGAGCTGTTCATTTACACCCTGACACAGACCAGTCACACACAGTCCATCCCAACCACCCCTGACACAGTGACACAGGCCCTTTCTGGATGTGAGTGCATGCACATGAGTACCCTCAGGCCAGCCACCCTGCCCCAGACATGGGCTCATGACCACCCTGGTGTCTGCCAGATCTTGTCTGACACGAAGGAGCTTCAGAAGGAAATCAACTCCCTCTCTGGGAAGCTGGACCGGACATTTGCGGTGACTGATGAGCTGGTGTTCAAGGTGTGGGGCGCCTGGCTGGGGGTGAGGGGTGGAGCCTGACAGGTGCACTGATGTTTGGGCCTGGCTTCCCTCTGTGGAGGGTGTAGTTGGGTTGGTGGTGGGAGAAGGTGGCCTTGTGGGGGTATGGGGGTGGGGCAGCTGGGTCAGCCCACTGATATCTTTGAGGTCCTGTCTGGTCAGGATGCCAAGAAGGATGATGCTGTTCGGAAGGCCTACAAGTATCTAGCTGCCCTGCATGAGGTGAGGGGAGAAAGTGCCTGGGGAGGCTCGTGGGGGTGGGGCAGGGCTGGATGCAAGCCTTTTGTTTCTGTTGTCCCCAGAACTGCAGCCAGCTCATCCAGACCATTGAGGACACAGGCACTATCATGCGGGAGGTCCGAGACCTTGAGGAGCAGGTGAGGCCTGAGGCAGGAGGGGGAACCAAGGTAGGCTAGGAGATAGCTCCTCAATTTATGTGGAGAGGGGCTGTGGAACCAGTTATAGCCTATGGTTAGAGGCCAGCCTTGACCCTTAGTACCTGCACGTGTGGTCTAAGACTGGCAGGTGGCTGACCCTGAGCCCTGGCTTCCACCCTAAGGGTCCTCACATCAGTCAGGGCCATTGGCAGAGGCTCCAGCTTGAAGATGTGGTGGGGAATCCTGCTAGGTAGCAAGGGATGCTTTAGGTGGAAAGCCACATGCAGAGGCCTGGCTATCATTGAAGGGGCGGGAGGGGCCCAGAATGGCTGTAATGAGGGGTTGGCGAGCAGGAACTGGGAAGGGGGTCCTGTGTGCTGACGGGGGGTGTGTTCACATTGCCTTAGATCGAGACGGAGATGGGTAAGAAGACCCTCAGCAACCTGGAGAAGATCCGTGAGGACTACCGAGCCCTTCGCCAAGAGAACGCTGGTCTCCTGGGCCGGGTCCGGGAGGCCTGAGAAGGCCCCTGTGGAGGTCTCGCCCCAGCCTCAGGCAGGGATTTGGGGTATTGAAGGAGGTGGCCAAGCGCTCGCCCTAGCTGTTCCTTCTGCTCTCCAGTCCCTCCTGCTGTGGCCTTGGATCCAGACCCCTGCCCACCTGACCCTGGCCCTTATCTGGGATGATTGTTCAGCTTGTGGGAGCTCGGCTGCAGTTTATTAGGGAGGGTACTGGGGATTGGGGGCCTTGGTCCCAAATAAAAGAGGAGCTCTTCTGCAGTCTAAGCTGAGGCATGGATAGGGGCTCAGGGTAGGGGAGCAGGGTGGGTGGCAGGGGTTGAGACACACAGGGTATATTTTGGCAAGTCAATGTATGTGGCTGTGTGTGTGTGTCTGCATGGGTCTCGGGGGACCCACTGGGGGCTGTGCATGTGCATGCATGTGAAATACACAGGTGAGTTCTGACAGGCTGTGTGTGACTGAGCATGCATCAGGGCCTGCACGAAACCATGCATGAATGATGATATGTCTGTGTGGCTTTCCAGGACCTGAGATCCTGAGAATATACTATTTCTGTGTGGGTGTCTAGGCACACCTCGTGTGACTGTGCCCCTGTGGGTCCCGAGGCTGACTGGGTGTGTGATTTGGGGTGTGTGAGTTGTCAGGACTCTGCTTGCGTGTGATTATTTGTGTGACTATGCAGCTTTGAAGTCATTTGGGTATACTGAGGCAGGCTCTTTGTGTTTTGGAGTTTGTGTTGTGTCCAAGGGACAGAATTTTGACAGTCTCTGTGACTTTTCTAGCCCTGAGGTCATCCGTGAAAGTGGCTGAGGCAGGCTGTGTGTGTGGCTGGTTACGAAGGTTCCATTTGGCTGGAGGGCTCTTCTATGGGGGGCTGAGAGGGATGGGGCTGGGGCCAGGACTGGGACCCCTCAGGGCAGCCTTGGGGCAGAGGATGTGATTCAGGAGGGTTTCCAGTGGGGGAGCAGGGGCCCTGGCAGGCAAACAGTGGACATCTCACTTCTTCATATCTGTGGGCACGTCCAGGACCTGTCACCCCTGCCACCTGCTATCTCTGCCCCCCCATTTGGGCCCCTGTCTGTCCTTCCTCCTTTCTTTGGTCTTGAGGTCAGGGGCTGGATGTAGGGTTGGAACACCTGTTGGGTCTCTGGCTCCTTTTCTTGCGGAACTCAAACTCATCCACAGTCCACACAGCCCCCTTCTCGCTCTCCACCCGCACGAAGCACTTGTGTAGGCTCAGGTTGTGGCGGATGGCATTCTGTGGAAGGCCAGGTGTGGGGAAGCAGAGGGCAGTCATCTTCTGAGGTCATCAGCCCCCCACCAACCACTGACCTCCTGCCCGCTCCCAAGCTGCCATGGCACTCGAGGCCATCCCAACCACTGCTGCCTCTGGAGGAGCTCACCTTCCAGGTGGCAGGGTGGTTTCGGAAGAAGGCAAACATATGTGTGAACCAGTGGTAGATCTCATTGAGTGTCCGCTGCTTCTCAGGAGCCTCCAGGATGGCCTAAAGGTTAGGGAAACACCTCCAGAGTCAGGGCTGAGAAGGGCAGTGGCCTACTCGGGGATGTCTGACATGGGGGTAGAATTATAGGGGAAGGGGGAGAGGGAGAGATGGTACAGGGTGAAGGATCTGGGACAGGGCTAGATGCGGGGTGAGGCATGGGGTTGGGGACAGGGTTAGATGTGGGGTGCAGATATGGTGGGGCTGGGATTAGGTAAAGGATCAGGGCTGAGGTTGTGAGTGGGTCCTGCTCAGGGTTAGGGGTGGAGTGAGGTGAAAGGTCTGGGATGGAGTTGGAGTTGGGGTTCTTTGGGATGGGGGTGGTATTTCAGGGCTTGGGAAGGTGAAGGGTCGGGAGTGAGGTCAAGTTAAGGATTTGGAAGGGGTAAAGAGCCAGGCAGAGTTAAGGACCAGGGAAGGGGTTGGTTAAGTCAGACTGGGGGTGGACTGGGATGAGTTTAGGGGTGAGAGATGGGATGACATGTGGCATTAGATCACAGAGAATCAAAGGTGTCAGGAGTCAGAGGTGGGTCTACTTACCAAGTATTTTACATGTTAGGGATGTGGTTAGGTGGTGAGATTCAGGGACAGAGATGAGGTCAGTTGTGGGGTTTGGTGTAGAGTGAGGCTGAGGGTCAGGGAATTTGATGGATTTGGATTTAGGAATGGGATTAAAGAGTCAGTGATGATGACTGCAGTGAGGTTATGAGTCAGGATGGAGCTAGGTTGGGGCTTCATCAGAGACTGAGTTGGGGGACTGTTAGGTTAGGTTATGGTTCAAGTATGAGGATAGGATGAAAGTTCTGGAAAGGCACTGGGGAGGCTGAGATGAAGAGGTTGGGCTGGGGTGAGGTTAAGAGTCAGATGGGTGATACAAGGAAGGGTCATAGGTGGGGTCCAGCTGAGGGTGTAGTGACATACAGGGGTACACAGGGGCCGAGGAAGGAGTCAGAGCAAGGGCTAGGGTAGATTTAGGGCAAGGAGACAGAGATGGGGCTTGTTTTGGGCTAGTTTATAGGTCCAGGAGAGGGTTAGATATGGGGTTGAGGTGGCTATCTGGAAAGGGTGAGTTTAGGGTTAGAATTTGGCATACACTGGCCTGGTGGTTTAGGCTTAGGCTTGGGGATATGTTTGGGGTGAAGCCAGCACGGGAGTCACATTTGAGGCATGGCTTGGGGTTCCTCAGGGTTGGGGCTTGTTAATGGAGGAGCCCACTCAGGCTGCTCAGAGGGAGGCGGGAGCTTGGGAGGCACGTCCCCCACCCCTTCTTTCTCTTCCTCCTCCTTGGAGCTGAGCTCTGCTTACCCAGCGGATGAGGGTGGCATAGGTGAAGGGCGGTCTCATGTTGTGGAACTTGAAGTAATCCATGTTGTGGAAGAACTCTGTCAGAGGATGGGGACAAATCAGGCCCCATCCAGCACCTCTTAGGTCCCTGTCCCATCTGCCCTCTACGGTGAGTCTACACGCCTGAAGTCCCACTGTCAACACTGGTGTCCACAGTCACAGTTACTATTTGCCGAGCACCTGACATAAGTTGTATCATCTACTCCTTGCACCACTTCTGCTAAAAATAGTTCTCCCTGAGTTTTAAAAGAAGCGAAGTAACGTTCAGTGGCAGAGCCAGGGTGACATTCGGAAAGGGGCTCTGGTCCCTGTGAAGCCCACAGCCCAGGCCTGGCGGATAGGAGGGGATTGGTAAGCTCGGATGAATCCACCCCTACGTTCCTTGATCTTAGGAAGAAAGAAGGGCTCTTGGAAATTGCTTAGCTAGTTCTCTCCCTTCTAGTGGCCAAGTGGAGTAACTGAAACCCAGAGTGGGAGAGGCATGGTCCCAGTCCTCAAGGGAGACGGCTGGGGGCTAGACATTTGAGACCACAATGGAGGACTTTCAGGCCACAGAAATCTGGAAAGGAAGTTTTTGCACACAGATGTGCTTTCACAAAGGCTGGGTGGTAGGGAAGGGCAGTATGGAGGTCCTTTGCACCCTCTCCTGGAGCAAGTCAGGACCAGGAGCTTGGAGCACCATGTGGGGCAAGGATCATTCTCACCTGGGAATGCACTGTTTCCATGGCTGCCCCACAGGTGCCTCCGCACAGCAAACAGACTGTCGGGGGCCTCCCGGGGACCGGGCCAGGCTGGGCCGCCACTGCCCTGGGTGCCAGCAGCAACGATGCAGCAGGAGCCCTTGTCAGATGATGCCTGTGGGGAGTGGGAGGCAAGCTGGTGACCCAGAGGATTAAACTTGCCACTTTATTTTTAAATTAGTGCTTTTAAAAGCAAGGGCACCCTCGTCTCAATTCTAGTCTGATGTGGAATCCCACAAAGCAGCATGAGCTGTATTTACTAGAGCATGGGTGTAGACACTGTATGTAGCCACTGATGCTGGGGCCATGAGCTAGGCTTGAATGACTCCTTTGCCACCTGCCTATGACCTTGGGAAAGTCACTGAAACCTCCCTGGCTTCAGTTTTCCTCATCTGTGAATTGGAGATGATAGTGGGACCTACCTCATGGTGGCATCACGAGGGCTAAATAAATTAACACCAGCAAAGAGCTCAGATACAGTGCTTGGAACCCAGTTCATGGACAGGTGCCCTGTGTGGTAACACGGGACTCTGTACTTCGTTTAGTACACTGTGGTTCCTGTCTTGAAATCTGTACAAAGGGGCCTCACATTTTCATTGGGCATTGGGCCCTGCAGGTTATGAAGCTGGTCCTGCTGGCACAGTCTGCGTTCGGTAAGTGGCTATTCGCTGTTGCTTTGAAAACTCAGGATCATTGTGTTTTGGGATCTCAGGGTTGGGGGTTTGTTAAGTGGAGGGGGACAGATTCCCAGGTCTGGGCATGTTTGGAGCTGGAGACAAAGGCACATGGCCCTCAGGGTCTGCATGTGAGGATAGTTCCCTGTACCCTGCAGGGCCCCCGCCCCTACCCCTCAGCTTGAGTCTAAGCCTGCCACTGATGGGCCTGGGGTTACTCACCATGGATGGAACCTTGGTCAGGGCCATTTTCCCGGCCAGGTGGGCCTGCATAGCATTCAGCTTCTCCTTCTCCAGCACCAGCTGTGAGAACAGGCATGAAAGTGAGGCTTCAACCTGGCCTTTCTCGGCCACATTTTTGCCCAGGCTGTGGTCTTCCCTGCGAGTGCCCTCCCTCTTCCTTTCTTTATGCTGGCCTTGATCCTGGCACGGGGGTAGACAGAAGCTATGCCCACCATCCCCACACCCCCTCCAATCTCCCATCCCAGGTGTAACGTTACCTGCTGCTCCAGAGACTGTACCACCTCTCTCTGGAGGAGACACTGTGCTCTGCCCTTCTCATCCAGGAGATGGTCTGCCTGGCAGTGCCTAGATAGGGGGAAGATTCCATGCAGGTGACCTTGACAGTCCTGGCCTAGCTCAACATTCCAACTGGGGATGGCTCAGACCTTTTGTGAGGTCTCTCGTCAGAGCTTTAGTTCCCCTTCCCTCTCTGCCTCAGTCTTCCTCTCACACTTGTTATTCCTTCAGCACATGCCACTCAGGACCTACTGTGTGCCAGCCCTGAGTTCACCACTTGAGCCTAGACAAGGTGTTGGAGATGACGTTGGAAGGGTGGTGAGCTGGGAGTCCGCCAGACAGGTGAGAGAGGGAAAGGTATCCCAGGGGTAGGGGCTAGCCTATGTGAAGGCCTGGCTGTGAGGACAGGACACACTGAGAAGCTGCTCATAGTTGGGTATGATTGGAGAAGGGGTGTGTGTGGGAGGGTGTGGTGGACTCGGGAGGCAGCAACAGCCATATAGAGGAGCTGGGACTTTGGGGATCAGTGAAATCTGGTACTTTCATGTGAGGAGTAGTGAGGCAAAGCAATTAGGAGCGTGGATTCTGGAGCCTGGATGCCTGGGTTCAAATCCCAGCTCTGTCAGTTGGGAACTGGGTGATCTTGATCAAAACATTTAACCTCATTGGCCTCAGTTTTCTTGTCTGCAAAATGGAGGTAAATAACAGTACGTGCCTTTATTATTTTGACCCATTATACACATAAGGAAACTGAGGTCCAGAGAAGCTAAGTAACTTATCCAAAGTCACACAGCTAGTGAGTGATGGAGTCAGGATTTGAACCCACCTCAGCATTTACCACTTTCGTCTTACTACCTATTGGGATGAAGCCTGAGCTGAGATCTGTACCCTAGACCTCGTCCCACAAACCAGGACTGGCATAGGCCTGGGCCACTCACTTGAGGAAGTTCTCTGGCTCCTTGAAGACCTTCTCGCATCCGGGCCACTTGCAGACACCATTTGCCAGCAGTGGGTAGGAGCTCTGGGGTGTGGCTGAAAGGGTGCTGGGGGGACAGAGGGTGTCAGGGGAGGGGGTAGCAGGGCAAAGGTCCTTCCCAGTCCTGCCCACTGACCTGTCCTTCCTGGGAGCACCAGGACTTGGGAAGGTACAGAGCAGTGCTGGCTCCCTGGACACCCATTCCAGGCTGGCCACGTTGATCCCTGTGGATGGGGACAAAGCACATCTGGGGTGGTGGACCAGGCTCTGGAGACTGGCCCACAAGACCTCTCATTTTGCACTTCCCACCCTCCTGAGTCCTGAAGGCCCTGAATTCAAGCGGACTCAGCTGTCCCAAAAGTCCCAGGCTTCTGACAGAGCAGTTCAAAGACTGCCGTTTGCAAGTGCTGACATTTTGACTAACTTTGCAAAGATCTGTGGTTCCGTGATCTTGACATTCTACATCTCTAAGGTTCTGAACCTGGCATTTTTGGGAGGTTGGAGTTTCCAAGTCTCAGAGACCTGACACCTCTTGTCCTCCAGAGTGCCACGATTCAGAACAGCCTACACTGCCCATGTTCAGCGATTTGGGGAAGGACTCTGGAGTTCTGTGAAGCCATGGGATGTGGGTTGAGGTGTTACCAGGTGGCAGGCCAGGCCGGGCCTTGAGGGAGAAGACCCCAGTGGCAGTGGTGTGTGGTGGGAGGCTGATCACGGCTGGGCTGTCCAGTGGGCGCACCTGCAGCACGGGAGTCCGGGTGTGGGCATCCACCGTTGAGAGCTGGGGGCACACATGGGCTTCAGTCCAGTTTGGCTTGGCACCCTTCCCACAGTTCTCCCACCTGCTCCCTCCTCCCTGCCCATTCATGGTATGTACCTGGTGCATGAAGTGTGGCCTGTCTTGGAGAAGTGCCTGCAAGTGGGGCGAGGGGCCCAGCCGTGCCCCAGAGGGTGCCACCATGACTAGGGGCACTGTGGGCAGCTGTAGGGAGGGGGGAAGGCAGGTGAGTGAGATGCCATCCTCATTCTCACTGTTTTGTGTGTCTAATTCATATACTCCACACCACAACCCCACGTGGTAGATATTATGATCATCCTTGCTATACATGTTGCTAATACACTTGAGCTCATGGAGATTGAGTGACTCTTTAAAGATCAAACATTTAATAAATGGTAGAGCTGGTCTCAACCCTGTCACCTCACCCCCTTGGACCCCAGCCTTCTCCTCTTGTCACATGGGGATGGGGATACATGGCTATGCCCATGGGACCATGATAGGGTCTCTTCCTCTCCTGAGGCAGGGATTAGGAGGTTGGGGGGAGCGTCGAATCTCTGAGGCCTGGAAAGTGGGGACTTTCTTGGGGCCTGTGACATCTGCATAAGTCACAGACTTGCCTGGGACCCAGAAACCACTTCCTGTGCCCCAGCCGTGCCCCCACCCTCTGCCTAGTGCCTCAGTAAAGGTTTGTACCTGTAGGCCCAGGTACCCCACCCTGTCTGCCCCATCCTGGGCTTGGGCCTCACCTGCAGCTGTGATGGTGGCATGGGGTTCAAGGAGGAGGAGGCATGGGTCACGCCTCGGAGGTCCCGGACCTGGAAGGTTCCCCCTGGGCCCCTGATCCCCAGAAGGTCTGAAGCTTTGGATGCAGCTCTCCAGCTGGGCGAGGCTCCTGGGGATGGGCCGAGGGCCAAGGAAGGGGCTGAGGGCTTGGCTGGCCTGGGGTTGGGCATTGGGTCCTTGTCCGAGGGCAGTCTGTGTGGACAGGGGAAGGAGTCACACATGTTCTGGGCAGCGGAGTGAAATACTCAACCACCTAAATCTCATGGAAACCCCCTTTGGTCAGAGCAATCATTAGCTGGGACATGTCCCAAAGGGCCCCACGGCTGCACTCCAGCTCTGGTTATGTGCACACACACACACACGCACACGGTGTCACGAACACAGGTACACGTGTGTGCCTGCATATGTTTCACATGTACCAGGCAGGGTAGGTCTCAGCCTGTCCCTCCCACCACTTGAGACACGTCTTTAAGCCTCAGTCCTCCAGTCCCCCCACACTCCATATAAGCCACACAGCCTCTGTTCATCTTGCCAGGGCTGCTCTCTGACTTTCTCTTAGAGGCACTATTTTACCCCAGTGACTTAGACATGAACTTAAAAGATTCATCTGCTATGAGGGGGACTAGTAAGGGGACTACTGCAACAGTCCAGACAAGTGATGATGGTGGCACAGATCATGGTGGTGGCAGCAGAGATGTTAATTAGTGAGTGGCTTCTGAAGGTGGAGTCAGGGGCAGTTGCTGGCAGCTTGTATGTGGGGGATGAGAGGGTCAAGGTGACTTCTGGGTTTTAGCCTGAGCAGCTGGAAGGACAGAGTTGACATTACCTGAGATGGGGTACATAGAAGAAGGGTTGGGGCTAAGGTCCAAGTGTGGATGGCCATGAAGAGTCTGGTGTCAGACATGCAAGTGGAAATGCCGAGTGGGTGGCTGAATACAGGGGTCTGGAGTCCAGGAGCCTGATCATCTCTGGGCTCCTGCCCTGCATGGAGCTGGCATGGTCAGCACCAAAGAGGAGAGACAGGCTCCCTTGAGCCAGGGCCTGTGGCAGCTCTTCAACCCAGCCCCCACCAGAGTTTTTCATCCCAATCTCTGCCCCCCAAGTCTGCCTCCAAACCGCACTCGTGCTGTTCACCCTGCCCAGAATGCCCACTCCTCTGCCTCGCCCCCTATCCAAGCCGTGCAAGGCCTGCTCACTACTGTCCTCATCCTCAGAGGCCTCCATGATGGCTCCAGGCCTCTCTGCAGAGCCACAGAACCTTACATGCTCTTGGCTTCTCAGGATCCTGAAATTCAAGTCTGAGAGAAAGCCAGAGCTGGAAGGGACTGCCCAGTCCAGTCTCCGAAGGGGGCACCCAGGTGCGAAGTTCCATAGTCCTATGGTGACTTGAGACCACCACTTCCTTGTGTGCATGTGTGCACATTTCATAAGCCCTCTGCTAGGCACACAGCTGCTGAGAGCAGCCTGGGGAGTGTAGGAGGGTTTTGGGGGAGCAGTTGCTCCTTCCTTTCTTTGCTGTCACCTCATAGGGGTTTTCAGAGTTGTGCTGAGGGAGAAGGGTGTAAGAATCCAAGAATTGAATCCTTGGTCTCTTGGGGGGGGGGTTAGAACATTACTCTGTGAGAATCAGGAGTCTGGGTCCGTGGAGGCTCAAAACAAGGGCCTGGAAGAACACTGGTGAGATGAGGAGGTGAGTGAATGCGTGAATGAATGAAGGCAGAGATGGGTGATGCTTCTACAAGCCGAGGAACAGCAAAGATTGCCAGCAAATCACCAGCAGCTACGCGAGAGGCATGGAATAGATCCCCCCTCATAGCCCTCAGAAGAAACCAGCCCTGCTGATGCCTCGGTCTTAGACTTGTAGCCTTCAGAACTGTGAGATGACACATTTCTGTGGTTCGAACTATCCAGTTGTGATACTTTGTTACAGCAGCTGGAACAAACTAATACCGATTTTGGTGTGTGAGTTGATGTTTCCCACCATATGGGCTGGCCTGTGGTCACTTTTGAAGCTGCCTGGACAAAGCTTATAAGAATTCTCCTCCCTAATCACATCTGGAATGGCACGACTCAGGGAAGCACAGACATATTCTCAGAAAGGTGACCTGGATATGGTCTGTCTGGTAGTGGGGGACCTGGAGGGCCAGGCTAGGCAGCCAGCTTCCTGCACTGTCTGTTGGGGCGTCCCTTTCTGACTAGGTTTCTCAGAAGCTGCATGGAGGATGTTTCTGGGACATAGATTATGTTTTCGTATCGGGGTCTGCATCTGGGCCCTGCTATCACAGCCCCTGACTTCCCCAGATTTTTCTGCCATTGACGTCATGGCGGCCGGATGCGCTGGGCTTCATCGGCACCAAGGAGGAAGAGAAGGGGGCAGATACTCCACCCCACGGGTTTCGTTCCGAGAACTGGCTGGCCCATTCTATAGCCGGCTTGGCCCAGGCTGGGTGACGTGAGTGTTGGCGGATGTGGTGGGTGACGTCCATTTGGCTACCGTGACAAGCCTCAGGTTCTGTAGACCAGGCCCTTCTTTGGCCGTGGCAAGGCCCCAGGTTTGAAGTTCTCGGAGTGCCAGGCAGGCCCCACAGATCCTGGGACCTGTGGGGTCTTCAAACAGTACAATGCGAGAACCTCAGACTCATAGAACGCCATTTCTTAGATTCAAAGGCTCCCAGAATCTCAAAACTACAGACTCTGGGGCCCATGGGCCCAACTTCTCAATACGTATAGGCCAACATCCCTGGTGTCCCAACTCCTTAGAATGGCCTAAAGGACAAGTAGATCATTACTTCATAGGGTCTCCTGCCTACCAGACCTGGATTTGCAGCAAGCATCCCTTCAGTCTCCCTCCTAAGTTCCATGGAGGTAGATGGTCAGAATAGCCTCCTCTATCCCTCCCAGCCTAAGGTCAGTTTCGGCACTAACTGGCTTTAACTCCCCTTGGGCTCATATGTAAACTGGGACAGTAATAGTACCCATTTGCCAAAGCTAATGTACACAAAATGCTTGGCAAAATGTCAGTGATTGGCAAATGACACCCACAGGGCCTCAGTCTCCCTGTCCATTCTGGGACAACTTTCCCAAATTCATAACCACTCCACTAGCGATGGGAACAGAGGAAGAGGAGGAGGAGGCTGAGCCTGGTGCGACTCTGGCCTAGGTCTTATGGGGAACCTGAAAAGCTCTGGCCTTTGCCAGTACAAAGTGCACCTGCAGGCTCTGTGGAGGGGCCCCAGGATCGAGATTCTCAGGGACCAGCACCAGCTCTGGTGACATACAGCCTGACTGATTAACTGACTGACACCCCTTCCATCACCACCACCCTCTGGTCAACTAGGCTTCCTGATCTATGGGGCCCAGGACTCTGCTTGGCTCAGCTCATGTGAGGCTGGGCCCATACTCGTAGGCCATGGATCATCCTGCCTGAGTCAGCATCCAACCTGTGAGAAGGCAGGAGGAGTAATGGCAACTCAGGTTCTTCTCCCCCATTATGCATGCTGGGGAGTAAACTGAGGCCCACAGCAGGGAAAAGAGATTTAGCCAGGGTCCTGCCAAGAGTCCTGAGATCTTGGGTTTCAACTCTGCCACTGAATTTCTGTGAGGCCTTGGGAAAGGCTCTCCTGTCCACCTCTGGGCTTCAGTTCACCCTCCTACACCTCTCCTCTCCTTTGTTCACAACGCCCCTTGCAGGAGGAGGGGAGAGGTATGGGGTAGGTGAGGGCCAGGGCCCTTCTATTCTTTGTCTGGGTGAGTAGTTAGGTGTTTGCAGGGGTTCAAGTTGACAACTGCCTCTCTATCCAGGGGGACTGACTGAGATACAAGGATACGCAGAGACAAAGAGAGACAGAAACAGAGATAGAGACAGACAGACATGGAGGAACAGAGGCAGAGAATAAGAGAGAAATGGAGAGAAAGACAGAGGTGGGACAGAGAACAAGAGAGATGGAAGACAATGAGAGAAAGAGACAGAGGACACAGAGAAGAGACAGAGACACCGTGATACACACATGTACATGGCGAGAGTGAGAGAAAGGATTGCCTCAAATAAGAACATTTGCTGGTCTCTGGCTGGAGGAACTGATGCTGCCTGAGCTAGTGAGGAATAAGGAAGGGTGAGGTGCTGGGGACACCCATGGTTGGGTACTGAATTGTACTGCAAAGCAACAATCAGCAAAACAGTGTGGCCCTGGTATAAGGACACATACTGAGAAACAGAACAGAAGAGACAGCTTGGACACAGACCCATAAATGGAGGGAATTGAGTTTGTGATGGATGTGACATTTCAAACTGGGAGATGGAGGAGGATGCCTTGTTTAACAAATAAATGTATCTGAGATAATGGGGAGGGGAATAAAGCTATTCAGTGAATAATCAGTTCATTTTCCCACCAGCCCCTCCTTGTCCAGTTTGAAACGTTATCATCATTAAATACCCCCAAATACCCAGCTATTACATTTTAATATTTAATGTTGATCTTGGGTTTGTTGTGTGTCCGGTCCATACTAAGCATTTGTCATGGTTAAAAAATTTAACCTTCACAAATACCATTGATGAAGGTACTGTTATAATCATCACAGTACATATGAGGAAATGGAGATACAGAAAGGTTAAGTGACTGGCTAAAAATCACACATATGGCTTGGGGTGAGGCTAAGTTTGTCCCAGACAGTCTGCTCCAGTACCCACATTCTTAACCTCTACAGTAAATGGAAAAAGTGAAGCCATAAAAGAGACTAGAAGCCAACACAGGTGAACATTTATCTCATTTTCAAGTGGGAAAAGACTTTCTAAGCACAAAACCAGATACAGAAACCACAGAAGAAAAGACTAACCTATTTGACTATTAAAAAACATCGTAAGCATAACACACACACAAAAACACCACAAACAGATAGAAAAAGCAAATGATAAATTGGGGGGAGATATTTGGTATATACATATGGCTGATGGAAAGTTAATATCCTTTCAAATAAAGAGCTGTGGTAAATAAATAAGAAAAAAAGACGAGCACCCTATTAGGACTAAGGACATGATCAGGCAAGCAAAAAAAGCCCAAATGGCCAATAAACAGTAAAAGTAATCAAATAATTCACATTTTAACAATGTACAAATATTTTTTTCCTACCTCTTATGTTGAGAAAGAATGAAAAAATGATAATACCCACCCAGGGTTAGCTTGAGTAGAGGGAGCATAAAAGAAGACAACCTTTTGGAAGAACAATTTATGGAGAGGGTCAAAAACCTTAAGAAATGTACATCCTCTTTGCCCTAATAACTCCATTTTCAAGAATCCAGGGAAGCAATCACAGATGTTTATGGGGAAAAACTAGACACAACTGGAATGTCTACCAATCAGCACTTGATCAAATCAATCACAGTTCATGCCAATGTGAGAACAGTCTTGACAGCCATGAAAGACTGTGTGTTCAAACAAATTTTAGTGAAATGCTACTATTAATTGAAAAAAAACAGGGACAAAACCAATATATAGCATGATTCCAATTTTGTTAAAAAAATACTAATAGCTGGCACTTTAGTGAGCACTTACTGTGTGCCTAGCACTGTGCTAAGTCTGCAGAAACGAGCTCACCCCAGCCTTGAACAACGTGTTATCTTCCTAAACATGGACTCTAGTCATATGCACACAGTCCTGGGGTAGGAATGCACAGCTAAACCATGGTTGACAATGGTGTGAACTGTCCCTCCAGGTCTCACCTCATGCAACACAAGCAGAGTTCAGTTAAGTGCTCAGTCTGACCTGATCTGACAGCTCACGATCATCCTGCTACCGGGGCAAACAGAACCGATACTCACTCTTGTAAACTGTAAATATTCTCAGCGACATTACTCAGCACACTATTATTAAGCACCAGCTGTGTACAAAGCTTGATGATGGATGCTGGGTGGGAAGACAGGTGGGGAAAGGAGAGACAAGAGAGCAGAAGAGACAATGGGAGAGAGACAGAGGAAAGGAGACAGATGGAGCATGGTCGAAATGGAGGAGACAGATGGGGAGATGGTCAGAGGCTGGGAAAGACAGGGACAGAGAGTCTGAATGCAAGGGAGACAGATGGCGAGAGAAAGAGAGGGGCAGGGTGAACAGAGAGACAGAGAGGGATGGGGGCATTGTGAATGAAGGGCCAAAGATAAGAGAGACACAGCTAAAATCTCCAGTCACACCTGAACAGCAATGCAAGTTGGTCAAAGCTCTGAAATCCATAAAGATTGGCAGTTGACATATTTCTAAAATCCTACCCATCTACATATCAAATGATGAATTTACCTTTGCTCCTGCACAAGCACTGATTAAGTATTTCACTTATCAGTCTTCTGGCATTCGTTATGACTGTTACCATTTTTAAAAAGATCTTACCTGGCCGGAACCACGGTAGCTGGGTGTGTCCGACTGTACTGGAGGGCCCTTGGCCCCCCAGTGCCTATCTCCCTACCTTCTCCTCCATTGAGGCCCACATCTGGTGGGGGAGTGCAGGAATACTCACCTTAGTGAAGTGGACTGACAGAAAAGGATCAGCTTGGCTTGTGGGAAACTGTCACGTATCAAAAACAACTTTGCTTTTATACCGAGAAGAAAAACCACGGCGTGGAAGCCACAGACCTCTCTTTTCTAATAATCCATTTTTTTTTCGATGAGTATGTGTGCTGATAATCATAGGGTGGGGGGGTTTCTCATAGTTCTCTGACTCTCTCTTTTGCTCGCTCGCTCTGTTTCTCCTCTTCTTGATTATGAGACTTAAACGGAAATTTTGAAATTTTGGGTTTTTTCTTTGCCCTTTACGAGTCATCTGAAAATATGATTTCTTCCCCTCACCACAGAGGTAAGGGGTATCAATGAGATAACAGGGCTCATGAGAAACCACAGTTTTTTAAAAAAGTATGTAGAGTTAGAAAAAAAAAAAACCAAGGGAAAAGAACTAAAATAAATCACAGGGGGCATCCCAGGGCAGAAAAAGACACCATTCTGTGAGGGAGAGAATCTTTGAGGGTCACTGGGAAAAGACAGAGAGATTCTGAAGCCCTTATGTGCGGATGAATGGAAAATACCAGGGATAGAGATGGAATAGAGCTGGGTTTCCAGAGGCCTCAGTTTTCCCTTAGGTGGAATTGATATGGTCCCCATCACTTGAACTGCCCAGAGAGGGGGAGCTCTGGATACCCTTGCAACCCACCTTCCCACAGAGGGTCAGGGGCATGTGAGTCACTTCATGGAGGAGAAAGTAGAGAGTCCACCTTCACCCCCGACAATTCACAGAATTGAAGAGTCGGAGAATCGCTGGCTCTCAGAATCCACTGACAGTCACTGAATGAAGAAAAGGAGAAAAGTCTTGCCTCATTGTGTTTTAGGGCTTGAGTGCTCTGACCTGGCTGTCCTACTGGGAAGGTCCCAAGCAAGTCCCCGTAGTAATGTCCTCACAAAGAAGTCCAGAGGCCCACTGGGACCCCTATCCTCTTGTGTCAGGAATATCATGGCCTTATGCTTCTGAGGCCCTCAGCCTTTGTGATTTTCTACTTTGAAAAGTTCCAGTTTCCAAGGACTTAGAATTCCAAATATCCGCCATCATCTCAGTAGCTGACATTTACCTTGAATTTTCCACGTCAGACGCAGCGCTGAATACTTCTCATAAATGACTGCCTTCAAACCTCACCACAGCCCTTTGAGCTCCATCTCATCACTGTATTGCCGTTACACAGATGGGGGAAGTGAAGGCACAAAGTAGTCAAGCAACTTGCCCAAGATGATGGAGCTGGCGAGTAGGGGTCCTGCCTTCCTTGGTGCTGGGCTTTGAAACCCCCAGGTTTCCCCAAACCCAATGGTCGCAGGTTTTAAATTTTAGGATGCGGCAGCCAGGTGCAGTGGCTCACACCTATAATCCCAGTACTTTGAGAGGCCAAGGTGGAAAGACTGTTTGAGGCCAGGAGTTTGAGACCAGCCTGGGCAACATTGTAAGACCCCATCTCTACAAAAAAGAAAAAAAAAAAATTAGCAGGGTGTGTTGGCATACACCTATAGTCCCAACTACTCGAGAGACTGAGGTGGGAGGACTGCTTGAGCCCAGGAGTTCTAGGTTACACAGAGCTATAATAGAGCTACTGTATTCCAGCCTGGGTGACAGAGCGAGACCCTGCCTCTAAAAAACAAACAAGCAAACATAAATAAATTCTAGGATGTGATGACAGGGAGGTTCTGGGATTTGGCAATTCCTCTGGAGGTTTTGAGCTTGTGAGATTTTAAGCTTTTCCTCACCTCAGGGGCTTCTCCTGACAGGCCATGGCCGAGACTTCCAGCACCCAGCATGGCTAGGGTTCTAGTCATCCAACGTCCATTCCAACCCCTCTGCAGGACTGGTTTCAGGCCTAGGGAAGAGAAATTGGAAACAGCTTTTTATTCACATGGTACAAATTTAGTGGCCAAGACCCAACTCCTTCACCTCTTTGCCTCCCTCTACCTTCTAAGCCCTCAAAAAAAGGAGAACTTCTTTCCTCAACTCAGACTCACCCTTCTGGAAAAGCCCAGATTAAGCCTGATGGCCTGGCTTTGTGAAGACAAAAAAAAAAAAAAAAAAAGTGAATAGAAAAAAACTGAAAAAAAAATCAGCCAACACTAACAATTAAAAAAAAAAACAACCCAACCCTCCCTACCATCAGTTCAAAACAAAAGTTTCGCTGGTTGAGGCTTCTGAGTTGGTGGGACATGTCTGAGACCCAAAGATAGCTTGTGTATGCTCAACAGTCAAGGGAGGCACCGAGGTGGGATGAACTCCCCAGTGTGGAGGCCCGCAGGGGCCCTGTGTACAGCAGATGCTCAATAGATGTTGTGGCTTGTGGGAGGGAGCAAAAGAGGGGTGAGGAGCATGCTTGTCATGAAGGAGTCCTGGGGCACCAACTGTAGGGATGTTCCCAAGGTTAATGACCCCCTACTCCTTGCGGACTTGGGTCGGAACATTCCCAACACTTTCTGTGTAATTATGAGCTATGCCAGTTCTAGAAGTGGAGGCCTTGTTCCCTGCCCTAGCACCTGCAGTCTCCTAAGAAAGGGGGCTGGTTTTCTTTTTCAGGGTCAGAGGTCTGGGCTTTATCCTCCTTACACTTTTCCCCAGACCATCTCTCTCCCTTACTATCAGTAACTCCATGAGAGAGAGAATGGCCAGAGGAGGAAAACAGAGCAAGGGTGGTAGCCCAAAGAATCTCAGGGGGCCCCTTGAACAGGACCCAGGGTTTTGGAAGGGTGATACTACTGTTGCTGAAAGCCAGGATCCTTGCAGGATGAGAACTGGGGGTTCAGGTGGGCAGAGAGGAGCAGAGGTCACTACCTCCTCTCTAAACTGGACTACATCCTTTCATATGGAAGACTTCTGGGGAAGGAGCTTAGGAGGACTGCGAGTTGAGGGCACATGGGCAGGATTAAACAGGTCAGGGAAAGTCCCCAGGGAAGGGGGCCTTTGACAAAGACTTGAAGGAGGTTAAAAGAGGGAGCCATCTAGATATATGAGAAACTCTGGAAGGAATAGTCAGTGCAAAGGCCACGAGGTGGGAATGTACCTGATTTGTTCAAGGTCTACAAGGAGGCTGGTGGGGTTAGTGTGGAGAGAGTGATGACAAGAAGTTGGGGAGGGGGGTTAGACCATGCAGGACTTTGTAGGCCATGTGAAGGACTTTGGCTTTTACTCTGAGTGAGGAGGAAAGCATGGGATGGTTGTGAGCAGAGGAGAGACATAAGCTGTCTTAGGATTTAACAAGATCCCCCTGACTGCTGAGTGTAGAACAAAGTCTAGTGGACGAGGGCAGAAGCATAAGGACCAGCAAGAAGGAAGCTATGCAGTAGTCCAGGTGACCTGTGATGGTGCTGGCAGTGTAGGTGGCGAGGAGAAGGTGGATTTGGGAACTATTTTGAATAGAGAGATGACAGGATTTGTTGAAGACTGAGAGTCTTGGATCTAGACTAGGACACAGATGATGCCCAAACCAAGTGGGCAGGAAGGAGTTACTGAACTACCCGCCATCTTGAACTTTTAGGTGAGGAAAAAATAAAGTTCTATTTTGTTCAAATCCCCATTACTTTATGATTTTTTGTTACTTGCAGCTGAACATATTCCTTCCTGACCAATTATCTCAATCTGGACATCAAGATCTGAGGAGGAGAGGGGCTGCTGGAAAAATTCTCTCCCTCCTAGGGATGCTGTGAGGCTTAGATGAGACAACAGCATGCTCAGAACCTGGCACTCAGTAGGTGTTTGGTAAATCCTCCCAGGGTGGACGGGGAATGCATGAATGGATATGTTCAGTGGACAAAAGAAGGTGAGATCTCAGAAGGAGAATGAAAGGAATTTACTAGATAGAGGAAGCAGCAGGAACAGAACTCTTGGGAGAAAAAATAAGGGAGGTGAGGCCACCTTGGGGTGGGAGAGTCAGGTTGGGTAAGAAGGACAGGGCTTTGATTTGAGATTCCGTTAGTCAGTGTCTACCAACATAACAATCAACTTTGGGCGGCACACAGGCTCAGTGTTTGCTAAGCTGAAGTTAAAAAACCTATTCCTTCAAAAAGTTCAATTTCCCATTTGACCATTCATTCAATAATGGTAAAAAGTCCTGGAAAGTGCTGGGGCTGACAATCAGGGGCATTCTTGGCTACTGGCACTGCTTACGCGAAGGCTAGGAGGTGGGCAGGACAGACTCAGTAACTGCAGTAGGAGAGTTCTTTTTGCTGTCTTAAGTTACACATTAGGCTGCAGTCTAGGCTTTCAGGGGCTGTGGGAATTGCTGGGGCCAGTGGGGACCCACGGATGGTTAAAGAGAAGGTAAATCCATCCCAGAGCGGTATACTCTTTACTATCGGCTACCTGCATTCTATGGTTCTGCTACCCGACCAACCAATAGCCCAGACTCTGCCTATACACCGCCCTCCCCTCTGAGCTCCTTAATGGCTGCTCACGCCTTCCTCCACAACTACCCACATCGCCCCCGTTGGCTCTGCTCTTTCCCGTCTTGCCTCCAAGTCCTTCTTTCGTCCCGGTAGATTCCTAGCCTCGGCATTGGTTCATCTCATACTAGCACTGCCTTCTGAGCACCGCCTTCACCTTGGCTCCTCCATTGGCTATCCGCCATTTCGCTTCCCCGCTCCCGCCTTCATCCTCTATTCCCATTGGCTCTGCCCTCTATGGTCCCACCTCCGCGGCTGCTCACACACCGCCTCTTGTTCTCCTTTTAGCCTTTGTATTGGCTAGCTCCGCCCTGGCACCACCCCTTGAAGCCTCAGTGCGTGCTCAAAGCCCTCCCCATTGGCTCGCAGGAATCATTATCGTCATGTTGCGCGCGGCTCCTCATTGGCTATTCCCTGTCTCTAGCTTCCATTCCGCTACTACGCAACGCGCGGGATCTCCCACTTTTCAAGCCTTTCCTTTCGTTCCTGGCTGCCCCCGTCGCCTACAGCCATTCCACTTTCCCTGCCGCCCACATGCCACTTCCGCTCAGACTTCCCCATTAGTTGTCCTGTTTCTGCTCTCTTCAGCTAGTATTCCGCACCACCCCATTCCGGCCTCTCCATTGATTCCCCATCATCCCGCCTCCTATACCGCCTACTCTCGGGCATGCCCATTGGCTGCGTGCTTCTCCTGCTCGCAATTCACGGCTTACGTCACCCACACGCGGCTGGCCATTGGCTCTCTGCTATACCTGTCTTCATTTCACCGCCTACGCCCCCGTGAGCCGTACCCCCCCGCGCTGGCCTTCCCATTGGCTGCCCGCCCCTTCAGGCCCTGCCCCCGCCGGTCC